ACTGCCATATGCCATACCAGCGGCATTTTAGGATCTCAACTGATCAATTTTCAAATATGTATCCCATAGTTGTAGACTCTATAGCTTTCTCACAGACTAAATAATATAAACTGTTTTGGGTTATTGTTACCCCAAAAATGTAGCAGAATACATTTTGGCCTACTTTTATGAAGAAAAAATTATCTATTTGCACATTTTATAACAAAAACTAAGCAAGAAATGTTTGGGTTTTTTTAAAAATTTTCAGTATTTTTTCATTTATTTAGCAAAACATAAAAAAAAAACAGTGGCGATCAAATACCACCAAAAGAAAGCTCTATCTGTCTCAAAAAAAGGATAAAAATGTCATATGGGTACAGTGTAGCATGACTGAGTAATTGTCACTTAAAATGTGATAGCACTGAAAGCTGCAAATTGGCCTGGACTGGAAGGGGGTGAAAGTGTCCGGACTTGAAGTGGTTAAAAAAACATTTTTTGATCACTTTTATTGCTATCACAAAGAATGTAAATATTCCCTGTGACAGCAAAAAGCATGTGACCGGTAGTCTTTATAAAGGGATCTAGAGTCAATAAGACCCCAAATCCCTCCTCTGCTTGTAACAGAAATCAAGTGGCTATTTAGCCGCTCTGATTGCTACTACAACCCACATGGAAGACAAATATATTTTAAATATACTTTAACAATATTCTTCCCTAATATATTGACATATATTTGAAATACTACAATTTTGTCCGTATTCAATATATTTCAATACATATATATATATACATATACTGTATGTTGAAATGCGTTTTTATTACAAAATATATGAAAAATATTTTTAAAAATACATTTTAAAATATACTGTATGTCTTTTAAAAATACATTTAATCTATATTTTTGGAATGCATTTGCAAATATATGTTAAAATTACTTTTTTTATATGTTAAAAAAAATCTGAAGAATATGTTTTTTAAAAATATATTTTTTTCAAATATTTGGCATATATTTTGTAATATATAAAAAAACACATTTCAACATGCAGTATATATATATATATATATATATATATATATATATATATTTTTTTTTTTTTTTTTTTTTTTTTTAATATATTGAATACGGACAAAATTGTAGTATTTCAAATATATGTCAATTTATTTGGGAAGAATATTTTTAAAATACCGTATTTTCCCGCGTATAAGACGACTGGGCGTATAAGACGACCCCCTACTTTTCCTGTTTAAAATGTAATGTTTGGGCTATACTCGCCGTAAAAGACTACCCCTCTTCCAGTGCACACCAGTGGGAAGAATCGTGCCCCATCATTGGTGTCAGTGGGAGGAATAGTGCCCCATCATTGGTATTAGTGGGAGGAATAGTGTCCCATCATTGGTGTCAGTGGGAGGAATAGTGCCCCATCATTGGTATCAGTGGGAGGAATAGTGCCCCATCATTGGTATTAGTGGGAGTAATAGTGCCCCATCATTGGTATCAGTGGGAGGAATAGTGCCCCATCATTGGTGTCAGTGGGAGGAATAGTGCCCCATCATTGGTGTCAGTGGGAGGAATAGTGCCCCATCATTGGTATCAGTGGCAGGAATAGTGCCCCATCATTAGTATCAGTGGCAGGAATAGTGTCCCATCATTGAAGTCAGTGGGAGGAATAGCACCCCATCATTAGTATCAGTGGCAGGAATAGTGCCCCATCATTGGTGTCAGTGGAAGGAATAGTGCCCCATCATTGGTGTCAGTGGGAGGAATAGTGCCCCATCATTGGTGTCAGTGGGAGGAATAGTGCCCCATCATTGGTGTCAGTGGGAGGAATAGTGCCCCATCATTGGTATCAGTGGGAGGAATAGTGTCCCCATCATTGGTGTCAGTGGGAGGAATAGTGCCCCATCATTGGTATCAGTGGCAGGAATAGTGCCCCATCATTAGTATCATTGGGGGAATAGCACCCCATCATTGGTGTCAGTGGAATAGTGCCCCATCTTTGGTGTCAGTGGGAGGAATAGTATCCCATCATTGGTGTCAGTGGGGGGGGGGGAGGAATAGTGCCCCATCGTTGGTGTCAGTGGGGGGGGGGAGGAATAGTATCCCATCATTGGTGTCAGTGGGGGGTGGAATAGTGCCCCATCATTGGTGTCAGTGGGGGGTGGAATAGTGCCCCATCATTGGTGTCAGTGGGGGGGAGGAAAAGTGCCCCATCGTTGGTGTCAGTAGGAGGAATAATGCCCCATCATTGGTATCAGTGACACCAACGATGGGGCACTATTCCTCCCACTGACACTTGCTGACCCCTGTTCCAGTACGGTGCTGCTGCAGCCAGCATATGTGGTTGCAGCAGCACCTAAGCACGCACACTTACCTGCATCTCCACTCGATTTTCGCGGGGCTGCTCAGCTCCGCCTCCTCGCCGGTGATTAGCCGCCTGTGTGCCTTTCCTGAGCTACAGTTCTGGCGGCCAATCACCGGTGAGGAGGCGGAGCCGAGCAGCCGCGCGAACATCCAGTGGACGAACCGAAGGAAGGAGCAGCCGTGCTTCCTGGACCAGATCGTCGTGGGACCGGAGCCAGGTAAGAGACAGCAGCCCCTGCCCACCCCTGTACTTAGTGTCCCTTCTGTTGGAAGGGGGGGGGGCGGCGGCGGCACCGCGCCGCCCCCCCCCTAAAAAGTGTCAGCATGCCGTTACCGGCGTATAAGACGACCCCCGACTTTTGAGAAGATTTTCAAGGGGTAAAAAGTCGTCTTATACGCCGGAAAATACGGTATATTTAAAAAGTATTTTTCTTCCATGTGGGAAGAGAGCCGACAGGTAGGTAAAGTTGATCCAGGGGATATCTGATTGCCTCTCGGGATCAGGAGCAAATTGGATCATGCTTTGCTGTTTTTTTTGCCTTCCTCTGGATCAACTTTGGGTATAGGATTATAACTTTTTTTTTTTTTGAATGGTTGAACTGGATGGAGTTTTGTCTTTTTTTCAGCCAGACTATGTAACTATGTAACTATTCATTTTTCAGGGTGTCTGCCTTTAGGAAGTATATATGTAATGTTTGGGGGTTTTATATAACCTTCAAGCCTTTAAATGATTTTTTAAAAGTGAGTAACAAAATATGCAAAACCGGCCTGTGTCATCCCTGTATGATTCTAGTCTGGGGCTTGCATTTTGTACCACTTTTTTAGCATGAATTCTCCAGTATAGACTATAGCGGAATTTTGCTGCAAGAAATGCAAGAGAAGATGATCCACTCTATCAAATGACTAGAAGATTAGATTCATACATACAGTGATGACATTCAGTCTCTTATGACAAATGCCTGAGTGTTAGTACAAAAGTAAGATATAAAAGACATTAAAAAAATGAAAAGATAAAATGCATTATTTGTTCTAAAAAATATACTTATAAATGTGTGTATATGCATATATATATATACACACTCTATTGCCAAAAGTATTGGGCCAGCCCTCCAAATCATTGGATTCATGTGTTCCAATCACCTTCATGGCCACAGGAGTATACAATCATCACCTAGGCATGCAGACTGCTTCTACAAACATTGGTGAAAGAATGGGTCGCTCTCAGGAGCTCAGTGACTCCAAGCGTGGTCCCGTGATAGGTTGTCACCTGTGCAATAAGTCCATCCGTGACATTTCCTGGCTACTAAATATTCCACGCTCAACTGTTAGTGGGATTATAACAAAGTGGAAGCAACTGGGAACAACAGCAACTCAGCCACCAAGTGGTAGGCCACGTCACATGACAGAGCGGGGTCAGCGTATGCTGAAGCGCACAGTGCGCAGAAGTCACCAACTGTCTGCAGAGTCATTAGCTAAAGATCTCCAAACTTGGTGTGGCCTTCAGATTAGCACAACAACAGTGCGTAGAGAGCTTCACGGAATGGGTTTCCATGGCTGAGTCTTACATCACTAAGTGCAATGCAAAGCGTTGGTTGCTGTGGTGGAAAGCATGCCACCACTGGACTCTAGAGCAGTGTAGACATGTTTCTCTGGAGTGACCAATCACGCTTCTCTGTCTGGCAATCCGATGGATATGTCTGGGTTTGGCGGTTGCCAGGAGAACAATTCTTGCCTGACTGCATTTTGCCAAGTGTAAAGTTTGGTGGAGGGGGATTATGGTGTGGAGTTGTTTTTCAGGGGTTGGGCTTGGCCCCCTAGTTCCAGTGAAGGGAACTCTTAAGGCGTCAGCATACCAAGACATTTTGGACAATTTCATGCTCCCAACTTTGTGGGAAGAGTTTGGGGATGGCCCCTTCCTGTTCCAACATGACTGCACACCAGTGCACAAAGCAAGGTCCATAAAGACATGGAGGAGTGAGTTTGGGGTGGAGGAACTTGACTGGTCCTGCACAGATTCCTGACCTCAACCCCATAGAACACCTTTGGGATGAATTAGAGCGCAGACAGTGAGCCAGGCCTCCTCCCCCGACATCAGTGCCTGACCTCACAAATGTGCTTCTGGAAGAATGGTCAAACCTTCCCATAGACACCCTCCTAAACCTTGTGGACGGCCTTCCCAGAAGAGTTGAAGCTTTATAGCTGCAAAGGGCGGGGCCAACTCAATATTGAACCCTACGGAGTAAGACTGGGATGCCATTAAAGTTCATGTGCGTGGAAAAGCAGGCCGACCAATAGTTTTGGCAATATAATGTATGTGAGTGTATATATATATATATATATATATATATATATATATATATATAACTTTGTCATCCTAACCTGATCCCACTGTGGCAGTAGGACCGGTGGGCCTTCACACCCAGTCAGCGCACATGTGCGTCCAACTGACATTCTCTGCTGTGAGCACTGAGAGCATTCCCAGCACAGTGGCATAACTGTCATGGACAGCTTCTGGTCGTTGGTTAGGATTGGGAACTCTTTGGGAATGTGACCACTGTGACAGCCAATCACACCATTAAGACCCTCTTAAAAAGCTACCAGAAAGTGGAGTCAAGAAGTTATTATTATTATTATTATTACTAAGTTTATATAGCCCAAAGGACCCAGCATTCACAATAGGGGGGACAATACATGGCACCCTGCATTCAACAACAAACAACGTCGGGGGTACCCTGCCCTATTCTTACTAGCTTACAATCTAGGAGGGAGGGGGTCCCAGTAGGACCCTGCAGGGGGAAGTATAAGTGGTACTAAACCCAGGACCCTGCATTCACTATATCTGGTCTCCTCGGACCCTGCATTCACTATATCTGGTCTCCCCGACCCTGCATTCACTATATCTGGTCTCCCCGGACCCTGCATTCACTATATCTGGTCTCCCTGGACCCTGCACTCACTATATCCGGTCTCCCTGGATCCTGCATTCACTATATCTGGTCTCCCTGGACCCTGCATTCACTATATATCTGGTCTCCCTGGACCCTGCATTCACTATATCCGCTCTCCCACAGTACACAGAACATGGAAATGCAATTATTTTAGTAAATATAAACTGCTAAATACCTTTTCTCATCAGCAGTTAGAGCAGTCTTGTGAATTCTATCAGTGTCCAGCAGAGCACTGATTAAAGCTTTTAGGAGAAGTTTCTTTCTGCTCTAGGAGGATGCAGGACCCCTGACCTCTGTCTGGACAGTGCTGACTAGCCCTGTGCTGATCACATGCACTCTCCCAAGAAAAAAAGAACTCTCTAGCAATACACACCAAACTGAGCATGTGCAAAAATGCTACGGTTCAGTCTGTCTTATCAGGAGGTAAGACATGGACACTTGAACAAGAGGAGGAGCACAGAAGTCAGGATCAAACTGCCTTTTCTGCCAATGCAGAGGATTAACCCCTTAGGTTCCACAGTGAGTATAACAAGCATGCTTTACTGCATATACAGACTGATTTTACTGTTGTGGATTTAGTAACACTTTTACGTATCATTAAGCACTGTATTACTTGCTGTTCATACTCACTCAGTCACTATGGGATTCGTTGGGATACTGCCAAAGGGAAATCAAGTCTAAAGGGATGCAGACCCTGACACTTCCCTCATTAGAGCCCTGCAAATGCAGCAGTTGACAAAATCAGAATAAACAGGTCCATAGCAAAAATGTAAATATTGCTCTGGTCCATGGGGGGTGTACAGGTATGAGTACTGAAGTGAATAAGGTTTACCAGAAGCTGGAAGACCCCTTTATTTCAACATGGGGTGTCAAACTGGCGGCCCTCCAGCTGTTGTGAAACTACAAGTCCCATCATGCCTCTGCCTTTGGGAGTCATGCTGGTAACTGTCAATCTTGCAATGCCTCATGGGACTTGTAGTTTGGCAACAGCTGGAGGGCCGCCACTCTGACACCCATGAAGTAGAGGAAAATGCCGTTCTATCTGTCACGCTGTCCTGAGTTGTTTTCATGATTGTATCACCTCCGCGGCCGTCGCTCAGCATAGTGCAACCAAGCATGGACAGCAAACTAAACAAACAAACAAAATCAATGTTCCCATTAAAAAAAACGCCAATTCCGTGACAGTATAATCCCTAGAAATCCGCTAATATCTAAATGATTATTTTCCATTTCCTTTCGTAGTACAAGAAAATTAAGGAGGCCATCGATTTGCTGCTCTTCCCGTTAAATAAACCGCGCCGAAGATCAATGTTGATTATATGTTATTGCTTCCAATATCAAGGCGCACGCATTATTTAAAGCTTATCCTGTTATTAAAGTCGCTAAGAGACTCCCGGAAATGTATTTCTATATAATTAAATCTTCTCGGCGCAGACGACTGACGCGCTTCTCATAACGAAATCAAAACATATCGAATTGCCCCCAACAAATACATCTCTTTGTCGAGTTGGGAATATCCCGAGCATCCTTCAGCGGTTCTGCCGTTTCATATCTGCGCAGGGAGCGAAGGAGAGGAAATTAAATTATAGACAGCGAATCATTAGGTGGCAGAGATGTAATTTTACACCGAGGGGAACAATGAGGATTATTGCACCTTTCGCACAGTAAACAGTTTGACCCGACACTGTTATTGTGGGAAAAATAAACAGCCGCCCCTGTAGAGAGAATGATTGGAAGCGGCCTCAGAGGAAATGATACAAATAAAATGCTGGGTGGATCAATAGTTAAAATTTAAAGAGGACCAGTCACCTGCGTGTGAACACAGAATTTTAAAGTAGTCATTTTAAAACTCCGGGATAGGAAAAGATTGTTCATTCATCATGTATTCTCTTTCTTGAATCTCAGTGTGCTTTGTGCATTTCTGCCAGATCTGTGCAGTAATCCAATGTGAGACTTTTCCTGTAATAAAGACCAGTCAGTGCTGCTCTCTCTCTTTGTGGAGGGTGACTGGTCTTGTCTCCGCCCCCCCCTCCTGTAGTTTTCTGCAGGCAGCCTGTTGTGGGTGTTGTTTGATTGGATGAGGTGGAGAGACAGGGTGATCTCCACCATGTCCAATCAGAAAGTACTTTGCAGTCATTAAGAAAATGGAAAGTATTCTCTGAATGGCACCTGTGTTGAGCAGGCAACCTCTTGTCTTCAGTAAGCAGCTGGGCAGCCGTTCATTCTGATCCAATGTGAGACTTTTCCAGTAATAAAGACCAGTCGGTGCTGCTCTCTCTCTTTGTGGAGGGTGACTGGTCTTGTCTCCGCCCCCTCCTGTAGTTTTCTGCAGGCAGCCTGTTGTGGGTGTTGTTTGATTGGATGAGGTAGAGAGACAGGGTGATCTCCACCATGTCCAATCAGAAAGTACTTTGCAGTCATTAAGAAAATGGAAAGTATTCTCTGAATGGCACCTGTGTTGAGCAGGCAACCTCTTGTCTTCAGTAAGCAGCTTGGCAGCCGTTCATTCTGATCCAATGTGAGACTTTTCCAGTAATAAAGACCAGTCAGTGCTGCTCTCTCTCTTTGTGCAGGGTGACTGGTCTTGTCTCCGCCCCCTCCTGTAGTTTTCTGTACTGGGTGGTCTGGTCTCCTCCCACTGTTCTGCTCTCTGCACAGACTATGTACAGCACAGTGATGATGTCACTGCTACTTTGACATAATATCTGGTAGTGGTGCATCGAAATAAAAATTCTGGTGCTGAAAACGAAAATGAAAATTCAAAATGACCGAAACCGAAATGCGCAGTTTTTAAAAATGAATATACAGTATATTTTTTTGAAAAAATACACTTTGATCAAAAAAAAAACACAATATGTACCCCATTTTTTTTTATAAAATATGAAAGAGGATGTTACGATGAGTAAATAGATACCCAATATGTTACACTTTAAAATTGTAGAATGGCGTGAAACTGCGGCACTTAAAAATCTTAATGGGTGATGCTTTAAAAATGTCTTCCAGGTTAGTAGCGTAAATTTGAAGAGGAGGCCTAGTGCGAGAAATATTGCTCTTACTCTGACTTTTGTGGAGATACCTTACATGGGTGGTTTGAGCACTGTTTACATATGTGGGCGTGGCCTACATATGCGTTCACCACTACATGCGAGCACGGGGGGACGGGGGCACTTTAAACTTTTTTTTAAATGTATTTAATGTTTTTTATAATTGTTTTTTTTCTTGCACTGTCCCTTTAAAAGAATCACTTTTATCACTATTTTGGCACTCCTACTCTCCACTGCAGAAGCCGCTCACTGACATAGGGGAGCTGGAGCTGCAGGACCACATGACCGAACAGAAGCATGCTGAAAAAAAGGTAGGTATACACATCTTATTATATAGTGAATGCCGGGTCCGGGCAGACCAGATATAGTGAATTCAGGGTCTGGGAGACCGGATATAGTGAATGCAGGGTCCGGGGAGACCAGATATAGTGAATGCAGGGTCCGAGGAGACCAGGTATAGTGAATCAAGGGTCCGAGGAGAGCAGGTATAGTGAATGCAGGGTCTGGGGAGACCAGATATAGTGAATGCAGGGTCCGAGGAGACCAGATATAGTGAATGCAGGGTCCGGGGAGACCAGATATAGTGAATGCAGGGTCCGGGAAACCAGATATAGTGAATGCAGGGTCCGGGGAAACCATATATAGTGAATGCAGGGTCCGGGGAAACCATATATAGTGAATGCAGGGTCCGGGGAAACCATATATAGTGAATGCAGGGTCCGGGGAGACCGGATATACTGAATGCAGGGCCGGGGAGACCGGATATAGTGAATGCAGGGTCCGGGAGAGCTCAGATATAGTGAATGCAGGGTGCGGGGAGACCAGATATAATGAATACAGGGTCCAGGGAGACCATATATAGTGAATGCAGGGTCCTGGGAGCCCAGATATAGTGAATGCAGGGTCCGGGGAGACCAGATATAGTGAATGCAGGGTCCGGGGAGAGCAGATATAGCGAATGCAGGGTCCGGGGAGATCAGATATAGTGAATGCAGGGTCCGGGGAGACCAGATATAGTGAATGCAGGGTCCGGGGAGAGCAGATATAGTGAATGCAGGGTCCGGGGAGAACAGATATAGTGAATGCAGGGTCTGGGGAGGCCAGATATAGTGAATGCAGGGTCCAGGGAGACCGGATATAGTGAATGCAGGGTCCTGGGAGACCGGATATAGTGAATGCAGGGTCCGGGGAGACCAGATATAGTGAATGCAGGGTCCGGGGAGACCAGATATAGTGAATGCAGGGTCCGGGGAGACCAGATGTAGTGAATGCAGGGTCCGGGGAAACCATATATAGTGAATGCAGGGTCCGGGGAGACCAGATATAGTGAATGCAGGGTCCGGGGAAACCATATATAGTGAATGCAGGGTCCGGGGAAACCATATATAGTGAATGCAGTGTCTGGAGAGACCGGATATAGTGAATGCAGGGTCCGGGAAGACCGGATATAGTGAATGCAGGGCCGGGGAGACCGGATATAGTGAATGCAGGGTCCTGGGAGACCAGATATAGTGAATGCAGGGTCCGGGGAGACCAGATATAGTGAATACAGGGTCTGGGGAGACCAGATATAGTGAATGCAGGGTCCGGGGAGATCAGATATAGTGAATGCAGGGTCCGGGGATATAGTGACCCAGATATAGTGAATGCAGGGTCCGGGGAGACCAGATATAGCGAATGCAGGGTACGGGGAGACCAGATATAGTGAATGCAGGGTCCGGGGAGACCAGATATAGTGAATGCAGGGTCCGGGGAGACCGGATATAGTGAATGCAGGGTCCGGGGGGAGACCGGATATAGTGAATGCAGGGTCCGGGGGGAGACCGGATATAGTGAATGCAGGGTCCTGGGAGACCAGATATAGTGAATGCAGGGTCCGGGGAGACCAGATATAGTGAATGCAGGGTCTGGGGGGAGACCGGATATAGTGAATGCAGGGTCCTGGGAGACCAGATATACTGAATGCAGGGTCCGGAAGACCAGATAAAGTGAATGCAGAGTCCGGGGAGACCAGATATAGTGAATGCAGGGTCCTGGGGGAGACTGGATATAGTGAATGCAGGGTCCGGGGAGA